ATTTGGGGAGAATTAAGTATTTCGAGATGGCTCGCATTTTGTGATATCTGTTTTGTGGTTGCCCTGGGGTTTCTACTGCCTTGGAAACGCACTTTTGCAGGCGAGCGAAAGCGCGAACTTTGCTGCTGGCAGTTTATCGAGTGGTAAGCTATATGGTGAATAGTTCTAGGTTAACCATATGTACTTTTCTTTGATCATTAGTTTGGCGAGTCTGCCTTGTTAGGCTGGAGATTGCTGATATGATATCCATGTTGCACGTATGCTCGTGTCACGAGTGCTTTACAATTCGACTTGGCTCGCATGCCGGTGATGAGTCAGCCCGAAGATCACATTTTATACACTTCATCTTGCATTCTTCTTTTCAAATATTGCCACTTGGAAATCTATGGTGGATATCGGCTTGCTACATTGGTCCACTTGATGGATCGCTCAACTGCATCGTTGAGCGATCTAGAATCTCTCTCTTTGGCCCATACTATGTCTGGTAAGGGACAAAACATGGTGCATTGAAGATTCATGCCGAGTAGTCGTTACCAGATATGCAGATTCTGCATATTGTCTCTGATTCAAAACCAAGTCCGAACTTATACACTACGGTAAAAAATTGTTTACTGTAGAATGGTACGCTAGGGGTTTACTATATAGGTGTAAACTGACCTCGTGTATACCCGTAAATAGGTTTAAAGTGGTGGTTTACTTTTATAGTAGGGGTTTAAATTAAGCATAAAAGTAGTTTTATTTCTATTATACGCTATAATACCTAACTAAGACTAAAAGGGGTAGAGAAGATTAGCTTCACGCTATACGTATAGATGACATAATAATAAGTCATGATATTAATAGGAGGTGGTGATAATAGAGGTGGTGATAGAGGTGGTGATAGAGGTGGTAGAGGTGATGGTAGAGGTGGTGATAGAGGTGGTAGAGGTGATGGTAGAGGTGGTGATAGAGGTAGTGATAGAGGTGGTGATAGAGGTGGTGGTAGAGGTGGTGATAGAGGTGGTGATAGAGGTGGTGATAGAGGTGGTGATAGAGGTGGTAGAGGTGGTGGTAGAGGTGGTGGTAGAGGTGGTGAAGAAGATCAAAGAAAGGAGGGGTAAAATACTTAAATAGTTAGTAGGAAACTAGTTATTACTAATACTAGTAGATTAATAGAAGTAGAAATAAAAGTAGTTTACTTTTGTGGAATACATGGTATAATAAACCCTATTTAGGTTTACTTCTTCTACCTAAACCACTTCTTAGTCTACTTTAGACAAATATGGCTACTGTAAACCGGTTTTGTACCGTAGTGATATCGTGAACCAAGTGGTAAGGCTAGTTGCACAAGCGCGTAGACTACCA